TACGGTAGGTACATGTAGCGATGGTCCAGGGCAGGGAATCGGACACCGATCAACCCGTCTCGCCTCCGCCTCGGCTTCAGGTTACATAATACAATTTCTCCTTTTTCTTTCCTATCAAGTCAAAGATCTTCTGCGTCGCTCTCCAATGTTCTCTAAAGTCGTAACTAAGCCCTATGCGATTATCTAGATAACCTTAATTAAGGAGGTTAACTTACGCCGAAAGATGGCGACAACAACGAAAACTCCTCACCCCAGATCGAGTTTGCGGCGAACCGCTTGTGACCGGTATGTTAAAAGACTATTACCTACAGTTATGTTAATTTATCTCCAGTAATTAGTATTTAACAACCAATAATATAGATGCCGGCACTCAAAACTAAAGTGCTTCCGCGACGAGAACCAGCAGAAATGCGCTCGTTGCCTGCGGCTCGAGCTTCGCTGCGAAGTCGCACCAGCTAAACCGCCAGGGCGACCCCGTAAAGTTATATCGACGCATGTCACTGCAGATGGATCATCAGATCATGCAGAGGTTTTGTCTCCTCAGTTGACAGAACGGAGTCATAGTCCCCCAGAAATCAGGAATAGTGAGCCCCCAAGTCAGGGTCTGGAAGACCTACAGCCAATCCCTGACGAGCAGCCACGGGTGAATACAATATTCGGTCAACGACCGATGCCATCAGTCATCAACATCAACGGTTTTCATATTAACGCAGTCATGCCGCATTCCGAATTTAGAGCCCCTGAATGGTATGAAGCGACCGTCTCCGACTCCGGCTTTGTCCCGAGTAGAGACCCACTAGAGGTGCACAGTCTCTTCACCGTTAGGCTAGATCGACACGAGTGCTTTAAAGAGTTGTCCCAGCTCAACGTGGACCTGCACGTCCATAGGCAAGCTCTCGGAGAGTTGATAGATACCGATAGGATCAGATTCTCGACGTTCACCGACCATCTACCTCCCCCAAACGGTGACGGGGTCTCACTCGCGGAGAAATTGCTCATCATATCTCAGAGATTCCAACAAGCTATAACGAATCTCTGCTGGGTCTTTAACAACGACCCTAAGCCACTGCACGCAACGGCAGTGGCTGTTGTTGACGACGATATGGTGCTCGACCCCCTGCTCAACATGACGGGGCCCTTCCCGATGTCACCAGACCAGGAAATAAGGAGCGAACAAGGCATCTCTGGAGGCAATGCGATAGAACAAGATGGGCTACTCGAAACCTCATTCGTCTGTCTACTTGTGAGCTGCTACGTGCAGATGATAAGCCTGTGGGAGATCATGTTCGTCCACGTACACAGGAGGATCAACGGGGTTGATATGGACCAACTCACACTCTCCGATCCTGGAAAAGGGGTCCAGATGGGCGCGTTCTACATCTTCAGCGGCAGGTTACAGAGCATGTTCTACTGCCAGGCTGTGCTCTACTTTCTAGACAACATCGACCGCGGATTATGCATCTTACCGGAACAGAGGGAACAAGGCATAACGGGGTTGTTGTCGCATCCCCAGCATTTCCATCTACTTCAAAGAGAACTCGGCGGCCAATTTAGCAAATGGCAAAACGAACGTGTGCGCGCGTTACGGTACTCGGTAGAGGAGGGCAGACTTTCTGCGCAACAGGATATAGGATGGTAAAACGCACATACATAACCTCGGCAGCTTTCCAGGGGACAGCTTAACGATGAAAATCGCTAGCATGGTACACTTTCTAATAAATATAACCTTGAAGCAGAAATATATACTCGATAACGCCAGCCCTAACGCCGCCCCTAGCTTAAACCTCAACTACAAGTAGAAAGTCATTGCAATATCGAAACTTCCACGAATGTTCCTGTCAAGTCATCACGGTCCACCTTCATCTCCGGGTGCTTCTCCAGGAAATACCGTACCTTTAACCGCGCATGCCCTTCCGTTTATGCTATTGCCCCTTTTATGGCTGGTTATGACCCTGAACTTGCTGCCAGTGATCTGCGTTGAAACAACCAAGGGGCTAGAAGCACCAATTATAGGTACTTGAATACCTTTTAGCAAGACTTTTTCATGATTCTTCATTCGAGGTTTCTAATGTAGGCCCACGGCATCAACTGCCCCGTCAATTCTGGCTCCGCGGGCTCCTCTTCCTCGTCTTCCTCATCTCAAGGTGGCAAAATCCAAGGCCATGTGTTTTACGTTGACTGGCAAGAACAGAATTGGGACATATTATACGCGTATGTCAGTTCACAAGCATAAATGCCAAGTTAAAGCGAGAACCACTGGTATTTGTATAGCTTGACAACCTAGCAACTACCCATACCACACCATACATTAGCCAAGTGAAGCTGTACTCTGTGGTAGAGGCCAAGATGCTCGTTTACCTCGACCATCCGTGTATATACCTCGATAGAACCAAGTCCATGACTTCAAATAATCTCAAACTCTTTCATGGTCTTGTCCATAGCATCATACGCGGCCTGGTACATGAGCCCAAGTCCAACACGCTTGAACTTCGTCAAAGTCTCGTCAACCGGCTGGAGCAACAATGCATAGTAAAGCTTATATCAAAGAGCGATCTCCCATTCACGTGCAAAAGCGACCTTTCTTCGTTAGTCATAGTTGCCGTGCGCGACAAGTGTACGACTTACATCTTCCAGCATCTCAACCTTAACTCCTACATTGTACTCTGGTGACCGTAAAGAGCGTTCAATTGTGGTAGTATTTAAAAGCAATTCCGGCCTCCGCCTGTTGGGTTATCAATCTCCTTGAGTTCATAAATATAAATATTTCTTCATATTACGTACCTCAGTTGTAATTCATCCCGCATAACGGAGGCAAGTATGGAGAAAAAGACACTAGATTGAGGTCTTTCGTCAAAATGCCCGAATCCGAGGATTCGAGAAGGCTCGCTGCCACCAAGTACCATCTGAACGGAAGAGTGTAAGGGTCCCCCACGCCAGAAAAAGTATTTTTCTGGGAAAGTGAAAAAGAGATTACTTAATATCCATTTTTGAACAGGTACAGGAACTGCAACACAACGGCAATCTACTCCCTGGCCGTGGCTCTTCATTCCCAGATATCCACGAATTTTCAAGGAACCGGAATCTATGATCGAGAGTGTGCCATGCGTATTCTCCACGCATCGCGCATAAAATGTATCTAGGGGCCATATCTTTTTACCCTCAATTTTAGCCCAACTCCAAGAAGGTGTTCCAGGAACCTTTCGGCATAGACGTGACTGTGGATTATGCACCCAAATGAGTTCTTTGGGCATCGACTGCTCCCATACTCCGAATCGATATCGACCGAGATCAGCCCTGGTTGTGCTCATCTCAGTAGCGATTCCTTGGATGGCTGGAAGCCGATCCGAAACCCGCGCAAGGTTCATTGTTGTATACTCCTCCAAAAGAGAAGACCATGAGCGCCCTGCGTGTTCATGTATTTTATAAGGCGTGTCACAACACCGTTCATTTAGCATTGACGTCTTGCATGCCCAAATCATGCCGCCAGGCATAAAGAAAACCTTGCGTCGGGACGTATGCCTTTCTTGAAAAGCCCAAGCCCTTTTATTCAAAGGGCTATTTCCGGGGTCCTCTTCTCCAAGCGGCATGAGCGAGAGCTAGCATTGGCCCAAAATGCGATTTTCGTTGTCAATCAATGGTACAGTGATAGTTCTTCGTTCTGGCCGTTGAATGACACAACAGCCCTCGCTAGAATCCGAAGCCGCAGAAGCCGCAATCATCAATGTGGCCTTTTCGTATAGAGAGCCCATGTTTGCTGACTCGCGCTCCCACTCATCGTGGTCATCCTGTACAATACATAGATAATCAATCCAGAGGTAATCGATGCCTATGCCCTTGGTGATAACCAGAGCGTCCTTGAAGGTCTTGGGAAGCTTATCAGAAGGAACGCTGATATGATGTTCTTCCAGGTTGCCTTTAGTGGTGCAAAGGGAACGTTTGTGCTCAGGGCCCCAACAGTGGCTTAAAGCACAGTATTTTCCTTTCATTCCCTTGGACTCGACCAGTTTCACGTCGAGCTGGGGTGAGATGCTATCGATATACAACACTCGGGTGGGAAGGTCCACGACATCTCCAGGAGCCAGAGTCTGTCCACCAAGCGTGTTAAGACACATCATGACAGGATAGGCACATCTGAAGCCATTTTGAGATTAATGGCGAAGCTTCAGACGGATCATTAGTGAATATCGGACGCTGTGTTGTGATCAATGGTATGACTTCCCCATAGCAACTCATCGTAGTCAGCTTTGCTACAGGGTTTACTACATGAAATATTAGGAATAACGACAGCAGTAGAAGGATTGCTCTGGAATTGCTTTACCTTCATCGCACCATATAGCAAGTCGTATCTTCTTCGTCTTCCCATCACGTCTCTCCAAAGTCATATAGGAGAACCCGTGCCACAAAAAAGTTAAAGTCCGCTCCCATTCAACTCTATCTTTCTGCACAATCACTTCGATTGCCCGGTCTTCGGGCACACCCCATAACCGGTCAATGAGAGGACAAATGAACTCGCATAAGCGGCAGTGGGATGCGGAATCTCTGAAGCTCTCTTGTTTCGTCCAGGAACCAAAGCTTTCAGCTCTTGGTATTTGCTTAAGTATGTTCTGACAGAATTCGCAGAACTCCATTGCTGCTCAGATCGAATATTAACTAGATTTGATAGGAACCGAAAGGTGAAATCGTAAGTAGGTAGGTATGAAAGACGTCTCTCGCATGGCCTCTCATGAGGGGAAGCTTCGTCAGCTTCCTGTTAGATATGAGATAAGATAAGGAGCGGAATAAATGCTATTCGACAAGATACTGTAGATGAGATTAGAAGTTGGTGGTTACACAGTATCACGTGTACCTTGCAGGAGTTGGAGTTGTGCTTTTGTATTTATACCTTAGGTTCTATCGTTTACAAACAGATTCTTCTGGATACGCACACAAATTTTTGCTCCTTCAGAATCATTCTAGTTGATACTTCCTTGAGCAGGCGGTCAACTATACCCAAAAACGTTTTCTCAATGGGGAATCGGACCCCTGCCTCAGGCTAGCAACCTCACATTCTACCACTAAACTAACCGATATATACCAGACAGTCTAGGCGGACCCAGAAACGATGTCAATGTAAGGGCATTGGAAAATAGAATATATGAAGCTAGGTTGGCGTATGATGAATTGTTGGCTTTACGTTACGTTACCTAGGTACTTTGTTTCCAGTTTTGTTGTACATGGCTCATCCGTTAAGATAACTGAGCAAAACATATTAGATAGCAAAGTTATATCAAAGGGAAGAAAGATTCAGAGGTACGACATAAGTCATACCATACACAAGATTACATAAATATTCACCGAGATGCTGCAAGATATCATTTGTAATAGGGGAAGGGGGAATTATTTCATTCCGATCAATCGTAGACCTATGTATGTGCCGTCAAACGTGGCATGCCCTGAAAAGACTTGGCTACCAAGCCACAAAGCATGGTACAGGCAACTAGGATGACCGTGAATGCCGTGGTGTATGTGCAGATGCTTCACGGTCTATGAATAAACCGTAAGCCGTGGTTGCCGCCATTGCTGTGCTTCGTTGATTTGCCGTTCCGCCGCCGCCTTTCGTCCCTGGACTTCACTCGCAACCGTTAAACGCCTAGGACCATTGGGTATCACCACCAGTAATCAATAGAACAGAACTTGAAAAAGTATTTGTCGTCAGAAAACCATTAAAACAACTTTTTCTTAAACCTTCCATTCTTGGAAGTTGCCGTAGGAAGAGGGATTTTCGACTCGATTGATGCAAATATGCTATTTACGCAATGTTGGAAATGGCATCTCGAAGGCGAACTCGAAACGCGACTGACCGGTGTCACCAAAGACGACAGGGAGAGATGAATTGTATAGCTTAGCGTCTGGAGTAGGAGAGCTAGCGACATTCGGAGTTTTGGAGGCTTTGGTACCACTGCCGGCTCGAGTTCTTCGTCGCTTGTTGGTAGGTGGAGAGGGCTTGACGGGAACCAGTTCTTCCTCATTCCACTCACAGGCCAGAACCTTGAAATTGACCTTCTTCGGGTCAGCTGGACCTTTGTTGTTGTCACGGCAGTAGGTGACATAGTTTTCACGAACCCACGCCAGGGTTCGGAAGACGTGCGTATGTGCCTTGGAAGTTTCCGAGTCCACCTCGAAATATGTTCGATCCTTGTTCGCACAGGCAAAACGTTCACCTGTCTTTCCATACTCTTGTGTTCTTGTCAGTTCTGGACAGTTAATGGTTTTAATTAACTGCAATACACATACCTTTGTTCACTTTGTCACTTTGCAATGGGGAAGATTTGTCGCGTTGCTTACGAACGGTGAGGCAGTCCAAGAAGTAGAAGTCTTCGAGATTTTTGAATAGGGCAGCGAACTGGAAGACGCTTTTTGGGCGGGCATGTTCATGGTCACGCTGGAAAACTTTATGCAAAGCGCCACAAGAACGACAGATGCCACAATGCTCATCCCATTTGGAGTTGTAACGGATTGCTACGCGTCGAACTTTGGCAAGCTGGTCGAGATCCAGCTGCACAGCCCAATAGGCCAAGGACTCGGTCCAGTGGATATACGGGTAGTCGAAGCACACAATATCCGAGGAGCGGTCTAGTAGAACCGTGGATCCGTTATCGAGTGTCAGGTTACCAGGGCGTTCCAACAGCTTGTCGATAAAGTACTTTGCCTCTTTACAACTCCGAGATAGCTGATTGAGATTCTCTATAAGAGTGAAGTAGTACGACTTGTCGGCTTTCGGGGAGGGGAAGGCAGGTTGCAAGGCGGCCGTGAACCTTGGTGGTGGAGCGTTCGGGTCCAAAGCGCGAGATCCCACCCAGCGAAGTCCGGTGCTTCCGTCACTAGCGGTTTCTGAAGTATCTCTGACACATGGTAAACGTTTAAACTGCAGGAAATGTATACCGGGGACGTATACAAGTTCCTTCCAGATCAGATCGCGAATATCGAAAGGGAAATGCGTAAAGCGGGTGAACTCCTGGACGCTCTGCGGCAGATTTATGTGGAGGCGTTTAGACGGCATCTTGGGCGAAAATATGTATCCGAACCTAGGCAGTTGGAGGTTTAACGACTGACGTTCGTGATGGATAACGGGTCGTGGCGGTGAGATGACGGCGATAGCGACGACAGCGATAATGATGAAATGGCTACTTTTACTAGGGAGACTGGTGTCACAGTTGACAAGCAGACAAGTTGACAAAAAGCTAGCCTCGGGTTTTCCAAATCCAAAGACTATCGCGAAGACGCGCCCAACGTTGGCAGGTAGTAACAAGTAAAACCCATGTGGTTCACGTCACTACCAATGATCGGCAATGTTAGTGGGTGAGTGACGACATGCAATGAGAGATGCAGAAGGGTAGGTGTTAGGAAATTCGGTTGAAAGAAGTTGGATTGTGTTGAGGTTTGTTTATTTAGGTAAGAAAAAAGTTATTAGGGTAGAGTTGTGTTTAAAGTTACGGTAGAGTAGAATAGAAAGGTAGAGTAGAGGGAAATTGCATGCGCAGGTGGTCACATGTGACCGTTTAGATCACCACACGACGTACCTGCCTATACGTGTTGTACAATACATCCGTACCTGCCTTCTACCTAAATTACCTTAGGTACCTACCTAGGTAGGTATGTACGTATGTACGTATAAGTAGAATACGGCAGACGATGTAAGTATTTGGGCACCATTTATATGCAATGCGCATGCAAGTGTTCCACATACACGTATCTTGAGAGGTTAGTTTGAAAAAGATGAGGCTGAAAATATTCACACGTAGATGGAGGGGCTACAAGGGGATGACTGAGACCAGCGATAGCCGTGAATTTACCCCGACTTTCTTTTCCATTCTTATTTTATTCTCCCATTTCTCTATCTCCGCCTTGGCTTTCATTCTTTTTATTAGCTTTCCTTTATTTTTGCTTTCATCATGCACTCGTGCTATCTGCATACATGGAACTTAAAGAATGTTGTTCTGCATGCACTGTAGCTGACTTTCAGGGGAACCCCGCAACGGTCTGTTACATGGTGGGGGAGTGATGTGGCCGCCCCATCGTCAGCCCACGGCCGGGTTCTTAGGTTGGTCATTGCGCAGTAATCGCACGGTCTGTAGCCGACGCTAATACGTGTCTGATAACACTAAATGGAGGGGCATTTTATGAGGTCATACCACTAATTTTCGTAGAGGAGTTGACAGGTCAAGACCGTGTAAATAAGACCACGACGGTACCACTCAGTTGGGCATAATTAATACCTACCATACCAACCCAACCCGTTTGCCAGATCTAGCTGTTATCACCATTGTCCTTGGAGCACATATTCACCTACTTACGTGTTTGTTCAAACACAAAGATATGTATCCAATGCTCTACAAATTAATTTCTATATACGACGAATTGAACTAATGTTGGCAGCATGAGAGTTTGGTTAGATTTTGTTCTAGGAATTCCGAAAATCAAACCAGACGAACCCCAACAGTAACAATCCCATCAGGCAGTTAAGTGAGTATCGAAGAAAACCCCCCTTCTCCAAACCAAGAGTCGATCATAACTCTATCTCCACCGCCTCACTTTCAAACCTCCCCTTCTGCGCGTCCTCACTGGCGCCAGCTTTCCCCAGCGCCTCCGCGCTCACAGCGTCGGCCTCCCGCGGCCAGACGCCCGTCCACTCGCCGCGGCACGCCACGCGCACGCTGGTGCCACGTAGCGCCCGCAGCGGCACCATAGGCTCGCGGAGCTCCAGCAGCTGCTCGCGCGTCTGGCCCGCCGCCACCGTGACGAGCGCGTCCGGCCCAGGCGGCATCATGCGCCTGACCTGGACCGTCGGGATGTCGACGGGGCCGCCGTCGCTTCCGCCGCGTGCGAGCGAGACCACGCCCAGCTGCAGCGCCAGCGGGTCCAGCGGCGAGTCCCAGCGCAGGATCGTGACCGGCCCCGCGTGCGCGTTGGTGACGGCGATCGCGAGCGTCGGCGGGCTGCTGCTGACTTGGCGCACCGACACCTGCAGCTTCGCGATGACGTCGCTACTCGCGTCTGACATGGCGGCGGCGATCGGGTCGGGAGTGCTGGGGTTGCCTGTGTATGTATACCGGAGTAATACGAAAACCACGGCAACGACGAGTAGCCACGCTATGTTCTGACTTTGATTCGATCGTCTACCGCCCATAAATGTCGTTGACGTAATCCGTAAGAAGCTTGTATTCGTCGGTTCGTTTTGCTGACGGCCTTGTACGTGCGATAATCTAATTGACTTTGATTAAGTCTTGGTTGAGTCTTGGTCGAGTCTGTGCAATTATCTGATCTCTTAAGCGTAGGTGTAAGTTCGAACCTCCAGGAAAGCAGAAGACGACCAAGTATTTAACTTTCAATTCTCGCAACTACCCAGATATTATCAGACATTGCGTCACCTTAGGCAGCCGACTAGAGAGCAGCTTCTCCATTAGGCGTTCGCCCGATAGCTGTGATACGCAGATTCCGTGGAATGGGGACGGCAAGACTCACCAAGGTTTGTGGGTAAATGCGATGCCAAGCTGTCCCGCTAGACTGGTCGAAAGGGGCAGGTGTCCTGGAGCTGATTCGATACGGATTGCGATTGGTTACTAATACAATGACAGCGAATACTACACAATATATATATAATCTTTCATGTATTGACTTGATCTAGAAGCACGTAAGAAAACGACGATGATAATGATGCGTGTATGTATTGAATCATTGCGCAATGAATTATATAATATGTTAACAGTCTAGGTACTATAAGCTAAGATATCTATTCACAAAAGGGAGAGTGCCTCACCCAACCACCCATCCTAAACAAATAATGCCACGCTTTCTACAAATTCCCGGTCTATATGGATATCCATGTGCAATTTGACCAAACCAGATAAAGTAAAGGTAAAGGTAAAGGTAAAAGTGCAACGAAAATAGCCGCTTAGTCGAAAACATCCGTAGCATACCGCGTATTCCTCAGGCCCTCCCACCACTTGGTGGCCTCCACGTCCGTCATCTCCTTGTCCGCCGCCTTCTTCGCCAGCTCGACGACGACGTCCTTGACGCCCTCGCCGACGGC